GTGTGTGTGTGTGTGTGTGTGTGTGTGTGTGTGTGTGTGTGTGTGTGTGCGTGTGTATGCGTGTCTGAAAGGAAATCTATTTTTCTTTTATGACCTATTTATGATATGAGAACACGCACGGGTACTAATAATTGTAGATCTGCTGATATCAAATGTTATTTGTATTTCAATTTGTAGAAGAGATTTACGGTTATGGCCAACGCAATAAGCACATACAAGGAGTAAAGACCGATATGTGATCTCAACAACAATGTACACATTAATCTGTTACAATCTTACTCATTATGTAGAAAGCGTTGATTACGTAGTGTGCGTATTTTCTTGTCTGTTTTTCAAAAGGTTAAGCGTTTAATCTTTTGAGTAATTATTAAGGGTAATTTCGAGCTTTCAAAATGTTACTTTAAGGTTGTGCACGATAAAGTTGTCCAAACAACTTTAAGATTTGATCTCTGATCAAAGATAAATTTAAGTTTGTTCAACTGTAGATTAATTAAGAAGGAGAAACTTCACGGGATGAGAACAAATGGAGGCTGTGGCCGCTCTGCTACAATAACATAATTATTTAAAATAAATTTGCCTCTCAGCCTTAATGAAAATGGCGTCAAAAGCTGCTTGGGTCAGATTACGCCGTTAAAGTGGCTATTAGAGCTTGAGAAATTAGCGATGAACACAAAAACATCATTGCCATCGTCCCTTTATTCCCTTTGTTGCTTGTTGTTATAGTGATGTTGTTATGCCATACGCTATCTTTGGTGGTTGCATACTTACTTGGCGTAATTTTTTCTGGTTCTAAAAAGCTTTCAGATTCCGGATCATTCATTTCGCCGTTAAGGTAGCGTTGTTCTACGTCAATGAAGTGGCCCATGGTCACCACCGTGACCGAGAAGTATACCTAAAACAGAATAAAGGAAATTTTTATTTTGAACTTATTTTAAATTTTGACTACATTATTCCGAACCAAAGTGTTACCTACAGCAGAAATAAGAAATGTGTGTGAAAGGATTCAATATTAGGAGAGCTTACTAGTGCTTTTGGTTTATTATGATATATGTTTGTTTTTAAGTTATAAAACAAAATATTCATAACATTCATAGCTTTAACGTGGACTTATAATTAGGAGGTACGGGATTTTCTTGCAAACAGCAATACCGAAAGGACGTGCCCATGGTATATATGGCGAACCAACAACAAGCTGCTAGACAACAATTAGATCTTTTATTATAGTGATTTCTCTGTTGTCCATATACGTTCAAAACAGCTCATTATTTACTATCAAGAACATCGACAGCACTGCAACAGTGACCGCATGTCAGCCACACAGCTTTATTTTAAACTCGTTGACCCCAAACTCTTTCGGATACCTACCATCTATGAAATAACATACAATTTTAATTTGATATTATATTTTATCATACCAAATGACGGGACGAACAAGTCGTGCCCCTGATGAAAAGTGACACGCCTATCGCAAATATTTTTATTTTAGGGGCATAGCCACTGCTCCCATTACCCTGAGACATATATAGATGATAGTTTCACCAGCACCCTTACCCTTCCAAACGGTAACACAATAATGTTCACTTACTTCTTGGCAACAGAAATAGGTAAGATAGCAGTACTTCCCTGTAGGGCTAGCACGACAAGACGCGACTGGCGCGAAAGCGACATAAAGCGCGACATCTCTGTGCGAGAATAACAGTATGTCGCTCTCGCCCTATCGCTAGCACCCTACTCGACGAACTCTTTTACAAGGTGCTTTACAGCTTCTACAAATCTTGTCATCAATCGTGGTGAGGTAAATTTGCGAATAAAAATCCTTTTAAGTTCCTCAAAATTTAACTACTATCAAATTTTACTACAAGGCATATTTAATGCTCCGCTAAAACTGACGTTAATTTATACCCTTAACTGACTGATTGGTCCTTTAATTACTTGGTTAACTTAATCTCTAACCGGTACCATTCTGACTCAAATCTTAAGCAAGCTAAGCAGTAAGACGAGCATTATTGCGTTCCGGTTTGGAAGGGGTAAATTTTAGTGTAACTTACATAATAGCCGACCAATACCAAACCGGAAATAACCCATCGTAAAACTACTGATAACGTGTTAGGAGGATAATCAATTACGAAATTAAGCTACCCATAATTCGCCTGCAAATTTCACATCCGTACGTTAACCCCAACAACAACTTAATAAGTAGGTATTATTAAAGGAATCGTTGCAAAAAAGAAACTGATCATAAATTCCTTTTTAAATAAATCCACAAAACCTGGCATGGAAATTAAAATTGACACCAGATTCGAACGAAAAACAAAAATAACTTTGTTATTCAAAGTTATTTTTGTTTTTCGTTAAACTGCCCAGTTAAACATTTCCTGTTCTGACTTAGTTAGGTGTATTGTGCTGTATACAGGCTTACAAACACTAAAATACTAAATTTATTGTCAACAACACATTCTTTGGTCAACAAAGCCAATAACATAGCAAAAAACTTCCATTTGCCAAATAGTATAAAGACAACCGAAAACTAACAACGAAGATATTTCTGTTTCTTCCTTTTTTATACTTAAGACAACACAATCTTTTTGTCTTAATTATAATATTTTTGGTTTTAATTATTACAATTAAAGATTCATTTTCTAAACAATTTCCAGCAATGGTCGGTAATGTTACAAATCATTAATAATAGAGCTAAGAGCAATTTAGTATTGTACAATGAAACATTTGCAAACAATTGCTCTAGGACCTAGTGAGCTCGGATAAATGTTATCAGGTCTACAAGAAACTCATCTGGATAATATTTGGAGGCGATGAACGACCAAAAGAAAAATAAGGTAGTGCCAGTTTAATAAACGATTCCGTTTGATACGAATATTTTGAATGTTTCAATCAAATCCAAACTTAACGCCGCAGTCATTCATAAATATGGAGAGGAGCCTACTTTTTCACAATTCTGCATTTTCGAAATGTTGGCGAGACGCTTGCCTAGTGGGTTATAAATAGAAGGTAAAAGGGGAAGAAATTGAAATTCACTTTGCGATCGTAAGGAATGTATTTTTACAATGCCAACTGAGAACAAAAAACAAACGTCAAAAGGAATACAAAATTAAAAGATTTCAAAATTTTAAACTATATCAAAAAACTGCTCGCGCACACCTCCTTTCCCCTCAATTATTGTTTAAATGACGATCACATTATCTTTGACATTATATTTTAAATTTGTAGTACTTTGATATTTATAATATGAAGTAAATGATTCCATTCCATTCAATTATTTCAGGATACTGTAAAAATTAAAAATATGCTGAATACGAATTGTATGCTTATTATTTGAGAAATAGCTAAGCAAATCCTTTCGTGGAAGTTACAATGTGAGCGGATGCTAAGAAAGCTTCACTCGCTACACTTCAGTAATAATAAAAGATGTATCGAACTCAGTAAATAATACTCTTTAGAAATGTACACGTGGTTTTGAATTATTCCTAAATGCATGCATCCATTCGTATCCGAAGATTTGATGCTCACACTAGGATGAAACTACATTTATAAAACATTAAATAGGAGACGGCCTCGTCCACTTCAAGTCGAATTCAAGTAGTCGCCTAAGTGCTTATCAGTTTGTAGTGTGATATCATAGACCTGTTATAGAAATAGAAATATTCTCGTCTTCATTATTACGCGTTCATAAGAAACGCTCTTATTGTTCCTAATTCCTGGAAGAGGTCATATTGGTGCAGATCTTTACGCATAAACTGTGGAAAGTCAATAGCTGGGTGTACAAGTAACTGGTCAATATAAGACAATGCGACAGAAAAAACCAAAACGCACATAATGTCGATGAAAGGTAAACCGCATTACCGAGGAAAATGAGTCAGCCACGCGAAGTGTAATGATGTAATTTGTACAGGAACACAGTAACACACTGTGCTTTCAGAAACGGTAATCAACAAAATATAATAAATAAAACACATTAAAGCAACTATAAATTATAACTACAAAGTCCTGAACGAAATAAAAACTGAAAATATTAATTCAAAATTACAATCGACAAACTAGACTGAACGTAACAGCTTTGAAATTAACAAACAAAGTCCCTCCGAGAACGTTAATTCTCCGTGAAGTTATGCGGAGAGAACTTCTTACAAAATCTATAGTCATATCTTTAGTCATGAAAGTACAAAAGGGAATCTTCTTTATATATCCACATATAAGGAGTCAATTAATATACAAACATTTAAAGTGAAAGAAACCCGCAAAATTATTTGCTCAATTTCACAAAATAAGGTTGCAGAATAATAGCTTTTTGAATGATAATTGCGTACAGATTTAAAAATCTAATCAATTGCAAAACTCAAATAAGATCTTTATTCCAAAATTTAATTGGATGGCTGAATTGCAGAAAAGTGAAGATCTTAATGTTTCACTAATAAGAGAAAAACAAGATAAGATATCATAAGTTCAAATTCCGATCTTAGAGGTTATTAAAGATAGGATTACACGCCGGCTCAAAAAAGATACCATCGCCGGCAGGCACTAAATTGTGCCCGAATTATATAAAGTTACCCCGGAACATTTCATTTAACTTTAGTGAATGCCGTATTGAAGGATTTTTGGATAAATAACGCCATTGCTGAAGAACATTTCCCTAAACATACGAAGGATATTAGAAGAATATCAACATCGGAAAACGCATATAAGTTTACTCTTGATTATGTTAGACGAGATTAAAATATCTAAATAATTATCTAACCACTTTTCTTGATAGTAGATTACAAGCGACTATATTCTCACGATTAAGAGAATTTATTAAAACCATTAGAAGAAATGAATAGAAAATATAGGTAAACGCACTCATTATTTACAGAGCTTTTGACACTGTCGACCTTCAAACAATAAACGATATCCTGCCCAACCGTACGCCTTTTAGAAATAAAATTATTCAAGCGTAGATGAATGGGGAAACTTTAATTTAGGGGTATGGCCAAATCTCAGTAACTATAAAAGTGAAAGGACAATCATTTTGTGTATGACTTACTCTAACGAATTCAAAATGGATTTTTAAACCATTCAATCAAACTGCCACAACGTTTACCTTTCGCAGACAACTCAATTATGGTTGGTATCAATCACCGTTCTAGGTAGGATAATAACATGGCAAAGATTTACTTACAACAGCCGAACTTTTCACTTAATTCGAAAGAAAATTTCAGCTTTTGATCCGCGACCTTTTTGGTCCTCAACCTCAAGAATTGCCTCACTAAAATGTTGACAGGATACTTCAATATCCATTGAGGAAACAAAATGCCTTAGATTTTTTTGAGATTTTTATTACAGCTCAACGTAATCGCAGAGTCAATTATGAAATGTTTAACCAATTTATAGAACATTATAGACAACATTGAAGGCGATACGGAAGATATATTTGCTCCACTTCCGAGCAGTGGATAGGCATAGGATAAAAATCAAGGAAATTCTGGTATACAAGGCAATAACAAATTATTATTTTTTTATGAAAAATAATATAATATCTGTCCCAATCTTAGCTGCGATAGCCCTGCTGCACTGCTGCCACTGTCTACCTGGTATATCCAGTTTGTGGAATGTTGGTTAACCTTTGCAATTATAATACTAAACTTTAATTTGTTCATTCGAGGTTCATATAAATAGCTGCGCCATCATCAGAACCCTATTGACAGCACTTGCGATTGATTCGTTTGATTTTGACGTTCGTACGTTTGTACTACAATTATTCACAAGGAAATGGACTTTTGGGACAATTAAACTTTTCTTAATATTTTTTAATGTCGATGCAGACGACATTGAAAAATATTAAGTAAAGTCTCACAGTTCAAGTTCACAAGACTTTTAAGCGGTTTTCTTCTGAAATAGAGAAGTAGGCCATGTTCGTACATAGGCTTTTTTTACCATAATTCTCTATGACATTACTATGCGACTAAATATTCTACTTGTGCGTTGTGAATGAATTCGCATCAAATACAGATTATTCTACAAGTAACGTGATTTTTATATCTTACCATCGTGTAGAGTGCAGCTGCGTAGCACCCTTTGCGCAAACTGCGCCAGCAGCAACATGACTGTATGATCGGCATCTTCACAATCTGCAACAAAAATAGTGTTTTAATGTTTTTAAAAATTACCGTTTAGTGGTGTACTGCTGATCAGACAATCGGGCTCTATACCTTGAGGTTTTCAAATAATCATCGAACGTCTTAACACATAGTTTCCCAAGTGGTCCCTACCCAGTGGGCGCTAGGTAGGGGCCTCGGAAGCAAGTGGGGGCGCTGACGCTGTCCAAGAGGTGCTACCGGATTTGAAAAAAAAAATCAGAATTATCTATGTAAACTACATTACATAATATTTTTTTTTTCATTGTGATTTTTTGTCTTAAGTTAATATCAAAAATACGTATTTTCAGTCTTTTTTTTAGTAGCGGGCGTTGAAATTTTTTTATCGTGGGCGGTAGGCTAAAAAGTTTGGAAACTTGTGTCCTAACATAAACATCGAACCCATTCCTACACCTTCAAAACGATTAAATAGTTTACCCATAATTAGCTTTGTTTCTTTTTACTAGTTGCTTTGTAGTTTACTATTATTAGTTAAAATATTATTATGTTAATATTAAAAAAAAATATTTTTTTTAAAAACATTCTTAATAATAATAATCACATTATTACACTTCAGAGTTTGGACCGATCTCATTCTATTCTTATGAATTTAAATTTTGATGTCAAAGTTCGTGCACTTGACTCTAAACAAAATCAAACAGTATGTTACTTTACACGCACACTTGAATTTAGTTACATACATTTGTATTTTGTAGATATGCGCAATGCAGTAGTACAGTAACAAAGAGGTAAAAGCTTTGTTTGAGATTTAGCTGAAAACGCACGAACTGTTGTTTGTTTCATTTAAAAAAATATCATGTTAAATTAATTGAAATTAAGCGGGTTCTTTTAGCGATAATGGTAATAATGGTAATTACAAGTTTACCATTATTACTTGAGATCGTTAATTAAATTGAGAGAACTGCTGCGACGTGCGTGTGATATAGTCACCGTTAAACTTTAGTATAATAAACATACACGAAGTTAAACGTGATAGGCATTATTTCGTGATTGGTTTGTGTATCATTTATAGGTATGTTTCTGACGTGTCTGAGCGGTACGATGTAGGTATGGGATTTCGGGGCCTTGCGAAATCGATTACAAATGAAATAACCATATCGACGGTTGATATTCTGGAATTGCTAGTTTAAATACACATAAAATCAAGATAGGAAAAGGTTTAAATGGAATATCGCTGCCTATTTACAATATTCTGAAGCTGAAAATATTGTAAAGTCTCACGTATAAAATCTTCTATAAAACCCACCTACTCGTATATAGTTATAAGTTTATTTAAATATAAACACAAAAATAATTTATTAATAATTTATATTTATGTGGCATTACACAAAATCAACAGTAGTCTATACTAGATAAAGAACAAATAATAAAAAAAATAGATAAACCTCTACCTTTAACCCATCCTGTAACGATAGAAAATAGCATCAAAGGCTGTGTCCCGAGCACCATGTCTAGGAGGCTGACAAGGCTTCCTCTTCGAACGGCCAAGCTTATTCTTTGGCGGAACTAGCTGCCTGCCCCAGCGACGTAGATTATGTATAAAGAATGAAATATTTTAATTATGGAGTAACTGGCATGAATACTAGAGATTTCTGATTAATACGCGTACAAAACTTGAATATAATAACGGGCCTTGAAGTTCGGGTCAACCACAATTATATAAGATAACGAATGAATAAATATAATGAGAAAGAAAAGATAAAAAAAGAAAGAAAAGGTAATAATGATAAAGAATACGAATGAAATACAAAAGATGAATTAAATTTCTTTTTCGATATCTAATCGAACGATTCGGTTAAAATCGGTTTGAATCGGGGGTTTGGGCAGTTTAACTGGCACTTGCAGTACGTCAATATTAGATGTTAACGGCGTTAGTTGCCTGGTCAGAAGGTAGAAGACGGAGTTGAACCGCGATTCTCCGCTAATCGACTGCAGGGAGGAAGGGATATCAGGTAGCTGGGCGTTCGTACAAAAGTCCTCTTTGCTCCATTGTGCTAGTAGGCAACCGGATAAAAGGGAACTAGAAAAATTCCCCAGAGGGTTGGGGCGGGCGGCGGAGTCCCCGCGATCTCTAACTCTATCCCCCTTCTGTGTAGCTTATACTAACAATCACTGGAACTCGTAGAAATCTCTCTCTCGTAAAAATTTTGCGATTCCTTCTCGATGCCATATTACGCCCTATCTCAAAGCAATCTAATGAACATGAAATCTCGTCGTGCACTTCATTTTGGTTGTCTTCTTTTCGGAACAATAAAATGAACGGTACTGAATAAATTTGCTTTCTTTCTTTCTTTCAGAATCCCAAAGACGTGGAAGATAACTAATATGCATGCTTCAGTACTCGAACAGCAGAAAATACTTGTTTTCTTCCTCAAACCCAATTTCCTGCTAACCTGCTATGTTAACAGATAAGTCAATCTGTGGTATGGCTCATTGTCGGATAATAATTTATGGTGATTAGAAATCCATAATATTACTTAATTCGTACCAAAAACCCACTCGAAACGTTAAAATTTACGAGTTAACTTCCACTCTAATTCATAAATGTAAATCTATCACATTCATTCTCAGACTACAAGAGTTCGTAAACTCGTATGCGTGTTCAGAATTCTGTGGCATGTAAATGATTTTAGCATACGTTACGTGACTTATTCTGTCATTTAGAGTGGTGCGCTACGCAGGAACTGAGTACATGAAACTACTGGGAATAAACGCGCAACTTGACTTGAAAACATTTATTTCAAAAAATTTGTTTATGATTAAAAAGCTTAACCGGAATACAATTTTTTCTTATTTCTTTTTTCACAGCACAGCATATTTGCGCGAGCAAAATTGAACATTACTCCCATAGACTTGACATGGTGCGTATAGATTTGAATATTTACAGATGGGAGTTGAAAATTTGGGCTTCGGTACGATCTGTAGAATTGTATTATTTATGCTTGTTTCAAATTTCGTGCATATCGGTTGGGGAACGGCCGAGTAATTTCGTTTGTTGGTTCTGCACGTTGATTGGATGTCTACTTTTTATCGAAAATAAATATCTACTATTTATGTACAACAGATAAAGTCGAAACAAATGCAGGCAATTTCTAAAGCTAAGATGGTGAAATTTTAACATACAGGACACCGACTCCTGTAACACAGGTTATATCTAGCTCAAGTGTTAGGGGCTTCATTATTATGTTGTAACTATAATAAAATTTGGAATTTATATTAATTCAAATCATATGATACTCTACTCTGATAGCGTCCTCCTCTCTACCGAAATTGCTGTGCCCAACAGGGTCCACAATTGATGCTCATCGATATAAGTTTTTCATCTCTGTATTTTTACATTGTGGAATGCAATAAATTACTGATTACTGATTGATTACTGATTACTCTTATGTAAACATAAGGCGTCTGACACTGCCATGACAAGACCGGCTCGGTCTTGTCTTGTCTATATTATTGTATATCAACAATAATACACCTTCTTACTGGTCTAAATATATCACACCACTTCACTTTCATGATACATGCCACGCCTAAATAACTGAGTTAACTTTCTTCATCTTACATTTTTCTTAGTCCCAAATGAACAGTTGTACTATACTGGTTTTTCGGACTACAGAGTAGGTACCATTTACTATTTTTTAGATAACCATACGAATTACCTGGGGCTTAAAAAGGACGCATTGGCAGAATCATAATGTGATTAATTGAAAATTCATATTATGAATTTTCAAACAAAACAAAAAACGCAAATAGATTAATTGCATTAGATACATCAATTGTAGGCAATTCATAATATGAATTGTCAATGAATGTCAAAGTCAAATAATCATTAACTCCAAAGGTAAAATTTTTACTCTCCTTGAGAAGAACGAGCAAGGAACTCTAGGGATTGCTATTTTCAAATAAAATTAAAGGCAATGGAATACACTTTGAATCATGATTGTGTGGAATTTAGACTCATGTTGTCTTCCCGTACATCTGTATCTAACACATACTCTTCAATTTTGTAATATGACTTTCAATTAGAATACTTTTAATGTAAGTTTGAAACTTAGGAAATAATAATCTTAATATATGCTCCGGAATCTTAATATAAAAACGTATACCTACAGTTCCCCATAATAGAATCATTTACCTTAGTTAAACAAAATCGTGTTACCATGAGTTTGGACTTAGTCCTGAAGGTTAATATTATGGACATCTTCTTAATGAAATCATGTATTAATTTTTACGGGCATAATAAATATTTGAGTAAATGTCATATTATGATGATGATATGAGTACCAGAGCACCTTCTTCCACCTAGGCCACTATCCAGAACACTCAGAGCAGAACTAATTTAGAAAACTTCATTCCCAAATTGATACTACCGGGAATCGATCGATCCACAGCGCAAACAGAGGTCGTCGAGATTCGGGTCGAGATTGACGTTTACCGGCAGTGGCAGAAACAATGCTATCCGTTGATATAGTTAAATCATTTGTAGGGTCTGGATGTTGCCTATCTGGTCAGCGATCAATCACTAACTAATTAAGTTCCGTAACTATTTATCTCTGTGGATGTTATCAATAAATTGCTGATAAAACAGTCTTATACAAATTATAAAATGAAAATACATTTAATTTATTACTAAACCCTGCCCTGTACTTATAAGTAAACAAGGAAAAGGTTTATACCTTCTGCAAAGACGAGCAATGCTTAATTAAAAACATATTTGTTTTTTTACTACACAATTCCACAACCGCTACCGCTATATGACTTCACTATAATACTGTAATTATGTAAGTAATAATAAAATAATAATAAATAAATATATATAATGAACTTAAACAAAACAAAGAAAGATTGAACAATTAATGATGAGCATACAAAACCATTTTAAAATCTGATTTGCTGTTGTGACTTTTAAACTCCTGCAAAGAAGAATCAAATATGTCAACTTCATTACACTTTGCATTGTATAA